ATTTCTTTGACGTAAATGGGCTAAAATAAGCATTGCTAACATGTTTAAATAAAATTTTAGTGAAGATGTACGATAGATAAGTGACAATTGTCATAATCGTTGTTTTTAAAGTTTTTCGAATTTCTTTGACGTAAATGGGCTAAAATAAGCATTGCTAACATGTTTAAATAAAATTTTAGTGGAGATGTACAAACTATTATGACAATTGTCATTTATCTAGGGTACATTTTCATTAAATATTTAATTTATCATCTTAGCAATCTATATTTATGCCCATTTGCGTCAAAAAAAATTAAAAAACTTTAAAAATAATGATTATGACAATTGTCACTTTTCTAGGGTACATCTTCACTGAAGTTTTATTTAAATGTTTGCAATACCTATTTTAGCCTATTTAGGCTAAAAAAATTAAAAATATTGAAAATAAAAATAACGATTAAAACAATTGTCATTAGAATTTATTTAGAGTACATCTTCATAATTTTTAATTTAACATGTTAGCATTCTTTATTTATGCCCATTTGCGTAAAAACTTTAAAAATAACGATTATGACAATTGTCACTTTTTCAGGGAACATCTTCACTGAAGTTTTATTTAAATGTTTGCAATACTTACTTTAGCCTATTTAGCTAAAAGAAACAACTTTTTGCCCATTAGCGTCACAAAAAAATCTTATATGTTTAAAAATACCTACCTATTATGATAATAATCATTTTTCCAGGGAACATCTTCATTGAATTTATAATATAATATCTTTACAAAATAAATTATATTATAACCCTTTTGTATCCAAAAATTTCAAAAATCTTAAAAAATAACGCATATGACAATTGTCGCATTAAAAAAAAGTTTGACATAAATATTAATAAAAAAATAGAAATAATGTAAAAAGGAATAACTAAAATAAATAAAAGTTAAAGAAAATTTGACAAAAATAAAAAAAAATATTATGATTTTCTTAGTACATCTTCACTAAATTTTTATTTAAACATGTTAGCAATGCTTATTTTAGCCATTTACGTCAAAAAAATTCGAAAAACTTTAAAAACAACGAGTATGACAATTGTCACTTATCTAGGGTACATCTTCACTTAAATTTTATTTAAACATGTTAGCAATGCCTATTTTAGCCCATTTACGTCAAAAAAATTCCAAAAACTTTAAAAACAACGATTATGACAAATGTCACTTATCTATGGTACATCTCCACTAAAATATTATTTAAACATGTTAGCAATGCTTATTTTAGCCCATTTACGTCAAAAAAATTCGAAAAACTTTAAAAACAACGATTATGACAATTATCACTTATCTATCGTACATCTTCACTAAAATTTTATTTAAACATGTTAGCAATGCTTATTTTAGCCCATTTACGTCAAAAAAATTCGAAAAACTTTAAAAACAACGATTATGACAATTGTCACTTATCTAGGGTACATCTTCACTTAAATTTTATTTAAACATGTTAGCAATGCTTATTTTAGCCCATTTATGTCAAAAAAATTCGAAAAACTTTAAAAAAACGATTATGACAAATGTCACTTATCTATGGTACATCTCCACTAAAATATTATTTAAACATGTTAGCAATGCTTATTTTAGCCCATTTACGTCAAAAAAATTCGAAAAACTTTAAAAACAACGATTATGACAATTGTCACTTATCTATCGTACATCTTCACTAAAATTTTATTTAAACATGTTAGCAATGCTTATTTTAGCCCATTTACGTCAAAAAAATTCGAAAAACTTTAAAAACAACGATTATGACAAATGTCACTTATCTATGGTACATTTCCACTAAAATATTATTTAAACATGTTAGCAATGCTTATTTTAGCCATTTACGTCAAAAAAATTCGAAAAACTTTAAAAACAACGATTATGACAATTGTCACTTATCTATCGTACATCTTCATTAAAATTTTATTTAAACATGTTAGCAATGCTTATTTTAGCCCATTTACGTCAAAAAAATTCGAAAAACTTTAAAAACAACGATTATGACAAATGTCACTTATCTATGGTACATCTTCACTTAAATTTTATTTAAACATGTTAACAATGCTTATTTTAGCCCATTTACGTCAAAAAATTTCGAAAAACTTTAAAAACAACGATTATGACAAATGTCACTTATCTATGGTACATCTCCACTAAAATATTATTTAAACATGTTAGCAATGCTTATTTTAGCCCATTTACGTCAAAAAAATTCGAAAAACTTTAAAAACAACGATTATGACAATTGTCACTTATCTATCGTACATCTTCACTAAAGTTTTATTTAAACATGTTAGCAATGCTTATTTTAGCCCATTTACGTCAAAAAAATTCGAAAAACTTTAAAAACAACGATTATGACAATTGTCACTTATCTAGGGTACATCTTCACTTAAATTTTATTTAAACATGTTAGCAATGCTTATTTTAGCCCATTTACGTCAAAAAAATTCGAAAAACTTAAAAAACAACGATTATGACAATTGTCACTTATCTAGGGTACATCTTCACTTAAATTTTATTTAAACATGTTAGCAATGCTTATTTTAGCCCATTTACGTCAAAAAAATTCGAAAAACTTAAAAAACAACGATTATGACAATTGTGACTTATCTAGGGTACATCTTCACTTAAATTTTATTTTAACATGTTAGCAATGCTTATTTTAGCCCATTTACGTCAAAAAAATTCGAAAAACTTTAAAAACAACGATTATGACAATTGTTACTTTTCTAGGGTACATCTTCACTGAAGTTTTATTTAGACATATTAGCAGTACTTATTTTAGCCTATTTACGACAAAAAAATTTAAAAAACTTTAAAAATAACTATTATGATAATTGTCATTTATCTAGGGTACATCTACATTAAATTTCACCTGTTAAAGAAACATATTTTTGCCCATTAGCGTCACAAAAAAATCTTATATGTTCAAAAATATACCTACCTATTATGATAATTATCATTTTTCCAGGGAACATCTTCATTGAATTTATAATATAATATCTTTACAATATAAATTATATTATAACCCTTTTGTGTCCAAAAATTTCAAAAATCTTAAAAAATAACGCATATGACAATTGTCGCATTAAAAAAAAGTTTGACAAATATTAATAAAAAAATAATTTAGAAAAACCACCTCTTTTAATATACTTAAAATATAGATATATTTTAAAAAAAAATTATTTAGAAAAAGAAAAACCATCTCTTTTAATATTCTTAAAATATAAATATATTTATTAAAAAAATATTTAGAAAAAGCCACCAATAATAAACTTAAAATATAGATATATTTATAAAAATAATATAAAAAAAACTATAGAAGATTTGACCTAAAAGATTATTTATTTATGATATAATTTAAAAAAGAATAAAATTTTATGATAAAACAAAAGAATAAAATTTCTTCAAAAAATCAGCAAAATAATATTTTTGTACTTCAAAAAATATTTTTTGCTTAAAATTTTTAGCTCAAAAATATTAATTTTTTTTTATTTAAAAAAAAATCAAATAAATAAATCCATTTTTATTATAATCAAATCAAAACACATTATTTGCATTAAATAAAATATAAATAAAATAAATTATTTTACTAAAAATAAATAAATAAAATTCTACATTAAAATTTCTCAATAACATAAAAATAATTTTTGGCTCTAAATTTAAAATAAACTCAAGCTACCCTCTGAGCCCACTAAGTGAGCCGACTAAGCGAGCCGACTAAGCGAGCTAAGGGTATAAGTGGATGGCCATGTTTGCCAACTAGCAAGGCCACCACCTTTTATTCCCTCAAAATTGGTTAAAACTTAAAAGCATTTATTGATAAAATTTATAAATATATAAATAGATGAATTGAATTTTAAGCATGTTCATCCAGATAATAATTAATAAAATATTATCATTAAATAGATGAGCCTGATGTTTATAAATGAAATGTTAATTATTTACTGCAATTTTTATCTGTAATATAATTCTTATATAATATCTTATATCCAGCCAGTTCAGTTGAAACATACCATGTTTGGACTGGGCAAGAAAATCAACTTTCACATGAACTCATCTAGCCAAAAACTATTATAGATACAACTTTGATTTAAATTTCATTTAAATTGGACTACACATTGATATTAAGAGTCTTGTATTAAATAAAAAGATTATGATTTTAAAATTATTTGTATGTGTATTTTATTTTAAAAAAATGAAAGTGTTTCTAAGTAGCGAGCATCGCTAATTTTTTTAAATAGCGCGCTAGTTACTTATACTTGCGCTACTTTAACGACACTAATAAAAGTGTATATTACAATTCAGTAAAAATCATATTTAGTAATTAAATTTAGCATTTATTAAAATAATAGAAGTTATTTAAAATTTACGCGAAAAAAACAAAAGATTAATTTAAATCAAAATTTTCATTTTTTTAAATCATTTGAATCTTGAATTAATCATGTCGATCTTATATTTTATGGACTTTTATGTTATTTTAAAATTTGCTAAAATATTATTGCTTAACAAAACAAAAAGGAAAAATAAAAACAATGACGAAAGCCTACAAAACGATAGAAAGGTTTTCGAAAGGCGCAAAAAGCTTGTAAAATGATGCCATTCTATTGAAAATCATGCAAATAGGCAAAAATAACGCCAAATGGCACAAATTAAAAGTCTTGAAATTTTTTTAAAAGCCCCGGCATCCATATATAATTAAAATATTTGTTGCACACTTCTGAAAAAATTCCTTCGGGGGCCTCTGGTTATTAATTTATAAAGATTCTATTTTGAACATCGATTGAATGTCATTAGTTGGTTAGTTAAAACTTTGCATTTTTAGAATAAAATGAAATGCTATTTAAATATATTGTTTATCTAGCTTGATTGATGCCATTCAAAATACTCCTTGATGACTGAATCATTTTAATAAGATTAGATTATTAACTTTATGATTTTGTTGAAATATTATTTTAAGAAAAAATGCGAATTTAGTTTATCCTTTAAATGAAAAGTTGAGTTTATTATAATAATAAAATTTCATTGATACAATCATCTATATAAATTTAGCAATTGTATAAAAAGTAATGAATAATCGAAAAGATTAATAACATAATTAATGAATGAAAAAATACATTAGTAGATAGCGAGCGTATACATATTTTATCAATTGGCATAAAATAAAATATTTTTAAAATAATAATGTAATGCTATTTTTAATTAAGTGCGATTTTTTTTCATAGCTTATCCTTTATATGTGCCTCGTGTTACCAAAATTCATGCCCTTTTGAGTTGCACCCTTGTTGGAACCCATTTGAAGATTTATTATACCTTCACCTAAAATACTTTTAGAAAAAAATAGTTAATAAATTTATATACCTGCACGCATTTGTTCATTGCTAAAATTTCTTTTGTTTTCATCTGAAAGTCTAGGACCTAATATCGGGTAGTTGTAACCAGGTTTGGTTTGAGCCTAATAAAAAAAAATACTTATATGATAACAAGGAAAAGTCAGCTATACCACTCGGCCAAGAGCAAATATACATTGGGTAACTTGAGAAATATTCCTTCTGTCCCATAAATCAACGGTTTGAAAGACGTCCAAATCAGGTAGGCCGTATTCTCTTGCAGCTTTTTGAAAGTTTGTTATATTTTCCATCATTTTGAAATCCCCTCCTGTCGAATTTATCTTTTTAATGATACCAGGCTGCAATTTATTCATGATTCTGATAATTAATTTATAAATTATTAATATTTAATAATCCTTATAAAATATATAATCAGCAATTTATTCAAATTAAATGATAATTTAATCGTTAAGGTAAAATAAGTGCGCATGAAGAGGGTGAATGAATAAGAAAAGAAAGAAACCAGAAAATATACCGTTCTTACTCAATTTATTTTTGGGAACTAAATTTTTCTATTGATACTAAAAAAAGTTCAACTTTTTATATTCATATTTGATATTATCCCACTTGATTTTTTTAATTGTGTGCATAATATTAGCAACCTGCACTAATGTTTTATTATAATCTAATAATTCAATTATTTTTAATTAAAGTATTGTCCATTGTTATTATGCCTTTATGCCATACATTTTCTTAAAAACAAAGTCAATTTTATACATTGTTATTAGCAAATTTAAATCAAACTTATCACTCAATTTCAACTTATTTGTAAATGAAATATAAGTATATTTTTGTAAAAGACTAATATCCATTTCGTTTTATCAAGAACATTAGGATAATAAATTTTAAGATAATATAATATTATATACTGGTACTGCTCAATTATACAAAAAAACTAACATTTCTGGATGCATTTTAGTCATGTCTTAGATAAATAGGTTCAAGGTATATAAAATTATTATCATGTGTCCAATCTAAAAAACTAGTTCTAAAGACGAAGAGATCTTTGTAAAAAAAATCTAAATGACAGAATGATTTTTTAATTTCTTTTTATAATAACTTCCTTTTTAATTAGAATATCTTAAAATTTCGATACACGCTTTATCCCCTCTACGATTTCTCTAAGTGGGGATTTTAAGTCCAAAAATCAGAAATTAATTTCTGAAAAAAGGTTTTGAATATAGCATTAGACTAGGGGGGAAATTGAAGGATTATGAAAATCCATTTCCACATTCATAAGAATCTATATAAGGGAAATCGGGGTTATATCTTCCATAAAAAATTGAAGTGAAAAAAATAGATGAAGAAAATTTTCAAAAATATTAACGTAATAATTACGGTAGAAATTAATATCATAAAAAATAATTTTTTATTATATAAAATTTAAAAAATTTGAGTATGAAATACATCTGGGGTACATTTTACCCTTTCGCAGTACGTGGTCTATTGCTCCTTTATTTTTAGATTTATTTTTATATAAAAATGTTAATCCTAAGTAAATAATTGACAAATATGTTAAAAAATATGTCAATCATCTAATATTGTTATTTGTGACACTAGACAAACTAGTGATTTCTAACATTCTTATAAATATAGTTGTTTTTTATACTAAATAATCCCTGCTTAAAAATGGCTAATATGCACCCCGCCCTGAATTGGTATTTAGTATGGGTAAATTTTATAAAATTTATTAGTAAAAATGTGAATAATTAAAGTTACTTTTGACGTTTAGAAATTCAAATTTACATTTAAAACTTTTAATGGGCATATTTCTGTGTAACACTTTTAAAACCATGAAGGCATAAAATACATTTAATGGGCTTCAAATATCCAAGTTTAGTTTTAATATTATTGAAAAGAAATTACCGCCCCGGGATAACACTATTCCCGGTCTCCCCTACTATTATTTTTAATTTCAAAGTAAATTATTATCGCTGAAAATAAGTCATAAAGAATCATCTTATACAACCAATTGCGGCTAAATTTTATATCCGATCAGGGTTAGCCCGATTTTAAAACCCGGACTGAACAAGTCTAAATGATCTAATTTAGAAATTTAGGTTAAAAAAATTTGAATTATGAAAGAAAGTTTTATTCCATACTCCCTATTTCACTTCCAAGCTTTTGGATCCAGCTGAAAGTATCTTTGATTATTACTTATATATATAAATTTCATATCAAATCAATTGAAGATTCAAAAAAATTAAGTTAAAATAAATAGAAAGCTTAAAATTTAGAAATTTTTTGCATAAATAGGTTAAGATTATGTGACTTAGTTAGCACCTTATTTTATTTCATAAAGAAAATAATTCTAAAAATATTTATAGTTTTATTTAGCTCATTATTTACATAAAAATAATTATTATAATGCCACTTCTAGACAGATCGTTTTTTCAAAGTGGTTTTTGGGTAATGCTATATCAGCAATTTTTTTTATTTATTATCGAGCCCCATTTCAGACGCCATTTAATCATAAATAGAAAACAAACTGGTTTAATTTTTATTAACGATTGACGTCTGAAATGGAGCTAGTTGAATATTTTTTTAATAAATATATTTTATTATAAAAATATTATTCGACAAATTATTATCTTTTGTTTGGAAATAAATTTTAAAAAATTGCTGGTAACATTACCCAAAAACCGCTTTGAAAAAACGTTCTGTCTGGAAGTGGCCTAAAAAATATATTAATAAATTATCATATATTAGTTTGAGCCGATTTTTAAAAGGGTTAACTCAATATTTTAGCCTGAAAAATATTGCCTAAGTCTCGAGATTTCGCTAATAGATGTTTAAACCTATGTTATCGTTTAACAATAACATCATATGATAATAAAACCATTTTTTTGTTATTAAGGCTAAAAGAGATAAATGAAAATTTAAGATATATTTTTAGAATTTTAAAGATTTGACATTTTCTTTTGATTTTTAAGAGCCAGGACGAATATACTGATTAAGACGTTTTTTAAAAAAATTTAAACACTGATTTTTATTATTCCATTATATCTAATATTATATAAAATTATGACAAAAAAATCAATGTAAATAAAGGTATCGAATTGGTGTCGTTTGAAATAGATATCGGCAAATATCGGATAGGCAAAAAAATTGTGGAAAGTGTAACCCTACTAAAAATACAAATAATATTTAATATGAATATTAGAACACTATTCTGTTCCGTAAGCCTGATTATAATATCATTTTCAAAAAAGTATTGGTCCCAAATCACTTATTAATATGGTATAGTTTTGCATATATTAATTTTATAAAAATTGTAATTTTTTTTATTTTGTCGATTTTCTCAAAATTTTCAAATATTTAATTTGTGGATTTTGTTTCCTATTTTGTTAATTTTCTGAAATTATTCCTAGATTCATGTTTGAGATGTGAGCTTCTTATAGGCCCAGACTTATTATTAAATTAATTGAAATATGGCGTTGGTGTAGGCCTTAACTATATAAACAATTAATTCAAGCTTTTTCAAAGGTGATCAAAGTATTGTAATCTATACAATTAATTGCAACGAATCCTGGTCGTAAATCTGTTGCTAATGTCAATTATGTGTCTGATTTGCCAATTTGCAACTGGAAAGGGCACACCCAATTCGTGACCCTCTAGTCTGTGCCTGCATGAGTTGAAACAAATCAGGGGGGAGCACAGAACTCTTCTAATTTAATGAATGCTAATTTAATCTGAAAGGATTATAATATCTTATTAGAATTGTATTAACTTTTTTTTCTCTTTTTATACGCATTTAGATTTTTGTGTTGAAAAAAAAAAATGACAGTTATTGAAATAAATATGTGTAATTAAATTTCGTACAAAAATCGCTATGTAAAATTTTTAATAAATGATTTTTCATTCATTTTGCAAGATGCCTTTAGTATTTTTAGAAATGATTAAATTTTGAGTATAATTATGAGATTTTTTTGTAGCAAAGAACAAAAAGTTTCAAAATAATCTTGACATGAAAACAAGTTCCTGACGATCAAAAAGATAATGAATTTGCCGGCAATAGAGAATAAACTAAATTAAATAATAAGCCTGCCTAACTATGTTGACATAAATATCATAAAATTAATACATATTTTGATATAGATTTTAGCCATACGACCAATATTAAAAAGTGGGATAACTCATCGACAAATGTTCGTCCCAGTCTTGGATTTTGTATAAATAGAATGTCTATAAAAACTGAAAGACTTTTTAAGGCCACTCTTTTCTTTACAATAAGCTTTTCAATATGGGGTCGGTTGGAAAATTTAGTTTTATTTTTTTTTATATCATAATATTAATTTTGTCATTTTACCAATTTTTTAATAAAATTATTATATAAAGTAATACTTACAATAACTAGTTTATTTATTATATGTTTAAAATACAAATTAATTTGATTCTGAGACATTTTATCTTGTCTCTTGCGTTATTTTTTGGATAAAATGTAAGTAGATTTTGGGGCAGATTTGTGGAAATTTAAAATCGAGGTAGATTTTGAGGAAGTAATCAATTTGATTTATATATAATTATTTTTTTAGAATGCTAAGTGTGGGAAACCTGACAACCCCGATCATGCGACTGTACAAATTAAAAATATAATTTTATAATCACTTTGATTTGGAAAAATGGTAAAATAATCGATTGAGTTTTTTGCCAATATATTTAAATGTAAGCAAAAAAAACTCAACAATGAAAATATAACAAGATTTATTGAAAACAAATGTCAATTATTCCTCCATCTTTTAAATTACAACAATCGATTGATTAATGTGTAAATTATTTTCCATTCTTAGAATATACATAATAAACCTTGATATTTTGATGAGATGTGTGTCACATATGTTAATCAATACAAATTTCATACATAAACTTGGTTCAAATAAAATGAGTAAGATACACCTTATATTAATCTTATTTTTAATTATAGCAAAATAAATTTTAACTCGATTATAAAAAAACATTAAGAAAAGGGAAAAAAATTATGTACTAAGAAAATAACATTTCAAATTAGAAAAATAAAATAAAATGTATTCAGAGGTCCAATGGATTTTTATAAAAAGGTCTATTATATTTATATTTTAAACTGATCAAAAAATGGTACACCTCAGCTATGAGATTTCTACAAAAAGATGTCAGGAAAACAGAAAATACAATCTTAACGCCTACAAGAGTTTTTCGGAACCGGCCAGTAGATTTTACAAAATTAGTCGATTACCAATATTATTGACAGAGTCTCAGATTGAAAGGCTCTAATTTTAATTACGAGTAAACTTAATAAAGAAAACTTAATTACATAGTAAATTTGAGAATATTCAACAAAATTTACCGGCAGAGAACCTGTCCATCTTTTAATTGTTCGTCATAAGTTCCTTTCCAGGAGAAACCTTCATCTTTTAAAACAGTAGAAATCCATTGTTTAACGCTTTCTTCTTGTTCGGTATCTCTTTTTGAAGCAATCTACAATCATAACAGATATTTTAAATAAATATATAAAAATTAATTAAAAACCTACTCTCCTCAAAATTAATTTATTGTAATTTAATCCCCATTTTTATATTTTTAAATATTTATAAAAAAAAAGTACACGGGTTTGTTGGTTATTATTTAAATATAATTTATTATTTATAATTTAAAAAATTTTATTAAGCATATTTTGCATTCCGCTTTATAAAATAAAATACATTTGTCTTTCTTATTCTATATATGGAATTTGACCTTGCTTCTTTATTTATATTTCAAAAACAAAAGAATATCTTATTGTTGTTGTTACGTTTTAATTTTCAGACAATAAAAATGCTGAAAATAAAGTTAAGGTATAATAATGAATCATCGCCAAAATTTTAAATTTCGTTATGCTAAAAAATTAAAATTGAGGAAGGATATATATATAATAAATATAAATAAATGCTATATAAGAACTACTAACTTTTTGTGCAACTGCAGCACTTAATCCGTAATTTGGGCCAGCGCAAGCCATAAGTAATTAATGGGATATTTTTAATTTAAAATTTAACTCAAAAAAAATTAATTTATATTTTATTCTTCAAAATTTAAAAGAATATTTAAATGATTATAACAATATTTTAATATGAACTATTTTAATTATTATAATAAATGACCTTAACAATTAAAAATAATATTAAAAAAATATATTAACAGGAAATAATCCAAGGTCCAAATCGAATGGTTTTTCTTAAAAAGGACAAGTTTATGTAAAGATTCAAAAATTTTGATCAGCAAGCCATTCACTTAAAAAGAATTGAAATTGATTAATTTATAATAAAAATGTTTAATATTAAGTGATTTGATTTTTTTTTACTATAAAATAATAAAGCTCGCTTTATAATATAATAAAATCATATTTGTAGCAAATAATATAATTTTAATTATATTTTTAAAAAATGGGTAATGAAAATTTTAAAAAATATTTACTTTTGCGGCAACAGCAGCACTGAGTCCATAAGAAGGTCCTTTGTTCATTTATGTGTTGTTTTACTAAAGAAAAATATAAAAAAACTTGTATATAATCTTGCAAGATGCAATATTACTTGTTGAAATTACAAAAAGAGAATATAAATTTTATTTAAAAAATTAATTGATTCAAAATCCTGTGAGAGGAAAAAATAAATATAAATAAATAAAGATTTGTTTATTCATTTTCATTTCTTCTCACAGTAGTTTATAAAAAAAATTAAAACAGGCACAACTTTAAAAATATACCAAATGTTTTCATGATTTACGTAATAAATAACTATTGTAAAATAGATACGAATACAGACATTCATTATAAAAATTGTACGTTGTTTTATTCAACCTCGGAATGCTTTCATTTTATTCGTAGGCAAGATTTATCCGAAAGGGGGGTTATAACCAAATTTTGGGGGGCTAAACCCCACTTCTCTCTCCCCCTTATATGAAAGATTCTTTTGATTATTTTTATTTCGCTTTTTAATATAATAATAATATCTGTTAAAGTTACATGAACATTGGAAGCATTAATTCTAAAATCGATGCCATATTTCGTACTTTATTAGTGTCCATGAGTGCTTTCCAGTATAAAGATAAAATTATTAGTAACAAAGGTTTTGCCATTCTTACGATCAAAAAGCAACGGAAAGCATTTATTTCTGAATATTATATCAATTTTTTAGTGTTTATTTGTATATTTAAATTGGTTTGGTGGAGAGTAATTTAACGAATTAAAGATATTTGCAAAATAAGAAAAAATTACCAAATAGAATGTAAAATGTAGATGGAAATATCTATTTTCGCTAATATTTAGTGCCTTACTATTACTTATTTCCTCTAATCAATTTTGCCATTCACAAATAAGAAACCGTGTTATTTGCAAAATGAAAACTTACTATGAAATAGTTAGCATGAAGTGAGCCAAGTTTTTGGAAACATTAATTTTGAAATTTGTACTAAGTTAAATACTCTATTATATATTTTATTATTTTATTCTGTTTAGTAGATGGCACAAATGGGGGAAAAAAATTATTTGCAAAATAAGAAACAAACAGGCGCATACGCAGCGGGGGGGGGCAGGGGGACAAATCCCTACCACCCCCCAAAGCCAAAAAATGCAGATGCGGCATTATATTTTTCAAAAATATTATTGTTAATATTAATTTATATATTTGTTAATATTTATTCCTATCTCATATTTATATATTTTAATATTACATTTATTTTTCACATTCCTACTTTATTTTATCAATTAATTTCGATTTCAAATTTTCCTTGGCCTAATATCTACCTATTATTTTCAAATTTCAAATAATATTTATCCCTGAAACTCCTTGTCCAACAGGGAGAAAGAAATTGCAAGCTTGTCCAACGAGATCTAGTCTCCGCCATCAAGCAGTAACAGCTTTTATGGAGTTAGAAGAGCCGATTATTAATGCTATTACTGAAATATAACAATGGCTTGAAAGAAATATTACCTCAGAAGCAAGAAAATTATTGGATTCAATACTTATTCCAAATTTTTTTCTCATTGGAATGTATTATTTAATTATACAACTATTTTATGTAATACTTTTCAGAAACATGACATTGACTTGATTAAGAAGATGAGAATAGCGCAGAGCATTTTATTAGAACTCAAGGAAATTAGAGCTAATGTTGATGAAGAATTTCATATTTTATATGTTATTGTTGAGTCAAAAGCAGAGCTATACGTGTTTAATATTTGTCCCCCTCAACTTGCAGCAAGCAAGCTCATCGTCAAAACATTAATATAGAATCAGTAGAAGAGTATTATAAAACAAATGTCCCCTCTCTTAGATACATTTATAACCCAAATAAATGAATGGTTTTTAATTCATCATGCAGCACTTACCAATCTGCAGATATTACTCCCACAAAAGCCTTCCCAACCTTTTTCAAATGGTGATAGAAAATAAAATAAGATATTTGTTAAATTTTATCATGAAGATGTTAAAGTATCTTATGATGCCTCATTGGCCGAATAGCTTTGGTTGATACAATCCAAAATTTGTTAGGGATGCCCTGCACCATTTCGAACACATTTTAGATTATATTCCCTATGTATTAAAATGGTTATATATATATTAGCTTTAAACTAATGAAAAACATTTCTTTTTAAGAAGAATAACAGAGCCTAAGGTACCATTTGCGGCACGATTTTTCAAATATTTGGCACGGCCCGGCTTTTTGAAAATAAAATTACAGCCCGGCTCTTTGGAATTTTTTATTTATTTTTATATAAAAATCGATTTCAAATTTGGTTTTAAATATACAGCCAGCCCGGATATTTTTTAAAAACCGGCTGTTTTTTAATAAAATTTTGGGCCCGGCCCGGGTATATTTTAAAAAAATTAAAATACGGTCCGGCCTGGGGGTCGGGCCTGAAGGTCTCTGAAAAACATACCTATGAAGTACAACTTCTGAAAGTAGATTGAATGGTTTGGATCTTTTGAATATTCATAGGCATTTAACGCCAAGCAAGGATGAGATAATTGAAAAATTAGTTCAAAACATACAAAATACAATTATTCCTAAGAAACTTTTGTGTTAATTTATATTTCCAACATTTAAATTTTTTATATTTTATATATAAATTTGAAAGGCTAAAAATATTCAAATTTCAATTTTGGGTCATTTAAGTGATTCGTATGGTGGTTATATTTTATAATTCACATTTATTTTATAGTTTTTCAATGCCGGTTTATATATATAATTTTTTTATAATTCGCATAATTTAATATTGTTTATTAGAAAAGTTATTAGTCCTAATAAATTTATGCTTAATTATATTCAAATAACTATAATATTTCTTAAAAAAATTTATTATCCCCCACCCAGACCAAATTCCTGCATACGCGCCTGGAAACAAATTTCGAAATTGGCATCATGCCGAAAGGGAGAATATATCAGTTTAAAATATCTGGTTTGAGTTAATGTTAAATTTAATACCTTACTTATTAATTCTTCAGTCAATTTCGCAAACCACAAAAAAGTAAACGAATTACAAAGTAAATTAAAACCATTGCATGACACAATGACGTCAGCCAAACTTCTGGAAACATTAACTCTGTCCGAAATTTATATCAAAAATTAATGCGTATTTAGTACATTGTAGTTGAAAGTAAACCGCTATAACAATGCCAAGATTAGTAAGGATAGGAAGAAAATTATAGAACACTGAATATCTGAGTGAACTAATATGTAATGCCTGATTAGTATAGTTGGTTACTGTTAATGCCCGGTAACAGGTGCCTGACGGATGAAATCCTTTAACATTGAGGCGTTTTAATTTATATTAGTCCCTTCTAAATTTGAGCTGTTATCTTTATAAGAAAACCTCAAGGCCAACGTTATAGTTTTAGGCTAAAAACTTGGTTTCGCTTATTTTTTAGCCGGCTAAAAATTGGCATAAATTGCTAAAAATATAATAATTACCCAACCATACTGAGTAGTACTTACACCAATCATTTCTAGTAAATAAATAAAAACAAGTTATAAGGGATATAAAAAATACCGGTATCCGATTTTAAATTACGATTCAAAAATTATGCCTTAATATATTAAGTTTTCCTTTTCCACAATTCAAATTATTTTTGAATTTTATAATTCTATGATCTTAATACATTTAATGTAAATTAATGTGTTAGTAGAAATGTTCATAAGTAGGGAATCCATATTTTTTTATAAGAGAGGGAATGAAGATATGATTTAAGATTAGTGAGTAAAATTTCTGTATATCTTTTTTTAAAGAAAAAAGGCTTTGATTTAAAATCATATTTTTTAGAAAAAGTAACATTGAGCTCAGGGTTGTGTATTTGACCGGTCAAATAAGATTCGGTCAATAAATGTTGTTTAGGATAAAAAATGTATGTATATTAAATTATTTTTTAAATTCTATAAATTAATGTTTCGCTCTCCATGGCAGAACCTTGTTCTAATTTATATTCAATCTTATTTTCTTTAACATTTTTTAATCAATCTTAGGTTATGATATACTCTTACCAATTTTCTGGTTGTCGAGATCTTCAATCTGATTTCTTAGACATTTCTCTTAATATTAAAAGTGAACAAAGCCCATTACAACAATTTGAGCCCGAAATCTGATTGTTTTTTATGAAAGTTACTGGTTTCTACATATTTTGGCTATACACCGCTTTTACTTCTGAAATTTATAAAATCACTTAAAATATTTTAATGATCATCTCTTTATGAAACGACTAATTTTTGTATTATGTCATATGCTTCATCAAACTCAAGTAAGATGCCTCTTATATTGGGGATCAATAATCAGCAGTGCAGTGTGAGCACATGTATTTGATGTTTTCTTTTTCAAACTAATCTTTAATATTTTTTCTTTAGGTTGGAAAATTATAAAATCATGGACATGAGTGTATTATGTGTTTTCTAAATTAAATCTCATTTTTTACGTGAGAAGGTCAAGATAGTTGAATGTTTTTATGAACAGTTTAAAATTTTAAATTTTTTGTCCAAAATATATAATCTAATATATTATATATTATTGGTAATTTCTCTCGGACAAATATCCAACTTCTTCAACAGCTGCTTTCAGAGCTTTGTTGCATGGATTAATATACCTTAAATACATGTTAGTTCATTATATAAATACAGTTATTCACCAATAACATTTTAGAGTATTTGACCGTATTTGACCAGGTCAATAACTCCTTCTGTCAATTGACCGACTTGCCAACCCTGGAAATAATAATTAAATTTTTTTCTTAAGATTTAAATAAAAGGTATATTTATTATAAATCGAATATGTTGTTTAAATATATCATATTTAGCACCAAACCTACCATTGACTCCTAATCCAAGAATTGTCACCTGAGTTACATTAATATTTTTTTATATATTAATTCAAATATACTAAAATACTATAATTGCTAAAGTCCAACCTACATCCAACAAGTTATCTATTATTTCAAGTTTTTAAAAAATAAAGGGCTTTTTAAAAGCTGTGACTGAGCATTTTTAAGTATTACATTACAGATTTAAACAATATAAAGTTTATTATATTATTTATTTTTTCTATATGGTTAATGTGAGTTTGTTAAAACTGTATAAGTATAAATAACCATCTCTTATAGTATAAATGCTTATTATATTTTTTTAGAATTTTTTTTTTACTTT